CCGTTCTCGTTTCATTTTTACCCTTTGTCTCTGGAATACGTGCCATTGGGTCGCACAGGAAACGAAATCCTACCGTAAAAAAATGCGAAGGAGTTTTCCGAGGTCTCGGTAACACCGAAACGGCGCATACACATAAAATACGATCACCATAAACTCATCCAGGAATCTCTGCACTTCTCGTGTCTTTTTATCAATTAGAAAAATATCTTTCGCTTCGATTCAAGATTGAAGTTTCCTTGAGAAAAAAACTAGCGAATGGTCCAATTTCCTTGTTATTTCAGTCCACGTGCTTTTAAAACACCTATAGATTTAAAACCATGACATTAATTTTATGAAAACATAAAAATAAAAGGGAAAAACGTTTAATTTACATGTGCGTCAATACTGACAAATAAACGATGATCGTTCGTCGTGTGCAAGAAATCGTAGAGAATATGCGATAAAAATCCAATAGAATTTCATTAAAAAATATGCAAGATAAAATTGCATTTTTACACGCGGAATTTTCAAGTAATATTCAACTTGTAGAAGAATGAATTGCTCCTTATTTATTAGTGTAGTGTTACACAATTTCCAATTGTGCCATTTATTAGAGACACCCCGTATAACATGCCGGCGCGTACATAAAAGCCAATCGGGCAACGGATGGATCGATATGGCTGTCGGTTTCTCTCCCTTATTCCATGGATATATCGATGCTCCACATTATGTTTCTTCCCTTTACGTATACTGCATTCTCGTGTATACTTTTCATATCTTACGATGACTTTCAGACCATGAAAAGAAAAGAAAAAGACGATCGAGATTAAAAAGGTGTGCTCTTTGCCAAATACTCGTTTCTTTCCAGAAATTGTTCATTATCCTTAAAGAAAATCAAAAACGAACCTTGCAAATCATCTTGATTCGAATTTTATATTTAAAATTATTCAGGTTTTCTGAAATAACGAACTAAATATAAATTGACATAAGGCTGAACCAACTATGGTACAATTTCTCGATATTAGGGTAGTCGATGACGCGAAGACATATGAGTAATCTATTATGAGTCAGACGTCATGTAAAAGTTCTGATGAATAATACCCTAGGCGATAATTCCCAAAAATCAATACTTGAACAAAAATATACGAATCATTATTAGTTTAAGATTAACCGAGTTTTCGGAATATTTAACTAGATTATGATCCTTCGGAAACTTAATGAATTAAGAATTGAAATATCGCAAAATCTGTACGATTAATATAAACCGAAAATTTTTGCGTGCCCTACATATTTAATATTTCCCATGCGATGTCGTTGCCTCAATAAGCATTTATCGAGATACAGTAAAGAGAAAAATCGGTGATAAGAAATTTTTATATATAATTATCATCGTTTTCTGTGGCAAGCGCCTGAGAAGTGCCATTTCCTCGTTCACTCATCATTTTATATCCATTCCTTTGTTCCAGAAATATACATAGATTTCAATCCCTTATGTTTCTTACACGATTAACATCGAAGTGACTCCTGCTTGCTAGATGTTATATGCACAGAGTACCTATGACAAACGTATCGTTATCGCAATGGAAAGAACAGAGTACATTGTGAAATGTAAATGGCATGCAACGAACAAAGGCTAAATAGAACGATAAAGCCAGTGTATTTTCGAAGCTGGTCCTGGCAAGATAAGACGCTGTCGAAGCCAGTACAGCTTATAGATTTTCATTGGATCCTGCCAAACTCCGCAGAAAGTTGTCACGTTCCATCCGCAGCGAAAGCTCGATAAATAATTGCCAAGACATTTTTTCTGGAGGAATGCCTCAAAAAATTTCTTCTATTTATCCTATATTCGGAATAATTATAAAGATGAATATATGGTAATAAAAATGCTTTTCGAAACTATACCGTGATAACTTATTTCCTATTACCGGTTCTCTGTAGTGTGCATTTAAAGGAAAGCTAGCATGGCAAAATTTTTATCAATAAATTCATTCCACAGATATAGGGAAGATTTCACGAGAGAAATAGGTGAATAAGACGCTGTGTTACGAGCACCTATGTACACCACCTACGAGTTTGCATCGAGATCTATGTGCATTTCCGGCGGTTTACCGTTATGTGCATATATCGCTAGGAATTGGACCACAAAGTAGATAATATTGCTCCTCCAGACTGTGCGTCACGTTTCACCTCCCAGCGCATAGAAATCATCTTCCTTGACGAATTTTACAATGAAAAAAATCTCATCTACAGTCTCTTCGTTATACCTACAAAAAGCAATACATTATAAGAGACAAAAATCAGAAAAAAATCACGACTACAAATGATTATTGAAGTTATTGCATCGATGCAATAATCTATTAGAAAATAACAAAGTTACATCATCATTTATAGAAATATCGATTTTTCTTTTTATTCTTTGTGTCTTCACTCTGAGAATATCAATGATTTGAGCTTCTCTCTCCTTCGACCTTCCTTTAAGGTGTGTACAGAAGAATAGATTGTTTCTACACTACGTACACCGGTCAAGGAAATAAGTATTGCAATCGGTAAGTGCATAACATAGCATTGCGTCCTTAATCGGTTTCCAAGAAGCGTGAAATTCCCGCGCGTTGGCCTTTTACTTAAATGACCGACTCCTTCTTCCTTCTCTTACGCATAATTACCAAGTTCTTGCTTTCAAACATCCACCAATACACCGATACATTTTTACATAATAGCAAAAACATTTCCTAATATGCAATTTTTTTAGGCATCACTGCGCTCTTTAGAAAACTTTGTTCCAAGAAATTTTTGCATTTTTCTATCAGAAGAATTTTAGTATTTTTCTTTCTTTTTTTCTCCGGATCTAAATACCATAGTTTCAATGTAAAACAGGGTTAGGAAACGGTACTTTTTGCTACTCTGCATAAATAAAATTATAGCACGTTAACGATTTAATTCGATTTCAGTCGACTTAATTCAACGTCGTTTTTTTCAGCGACCCCAGTCAATATACACAGTCTCGAGGCTCCACGGAAGGGCGAATGGTGCAATTAGGTGCAATAACTGAGAATCATTTTCCTGTGGGAAAAAGAACCAATGATACGAGATACAAAGAACAAGCCGGACAATTTGTAGATTCAACGGATGTTATGCGACATAATCGTTTTTTATCAGAACAGACTAGCATACCAATAAAATAGTATAATATAAAACATTGAATTAATGAACCAAGAAACAGTTGTACTATGTTACTTTATACAAATAGTAAAAATATTCCTATATGAAATTAAGTGTTCCTTTGATCTCTGAAATATAGTTCACTCTCGGAACACTTGCAAACCAAGAAAAAAAAGTAAGAAACAAAAAATTGTCGCAGTCTACATTTACATAGAAAGAAATTATAGATAATAATAGATATATTATAATTAAAATGAGACAATTATACCTTGAATATTGAATATATCAATATAATATGAATTTCATCTGACGGATAATTTAAACATTCCTACACAAAGCCGTACTTTTCTGGTGGCAATAACAAAAGAAACCTTTTGATACACCGATATATGTCACACACAACGTATACATACACACACACGCACATATATATATATATATATATATATATGATGATGATGATGATGATGATTTATATATATAACACGCGCGCGCGCACACACACACACACACACACACGCGCGCGCACATACATTCCTCCTCTCCAACGGTCTCTCTCAAAAAGTGGGACATTAAGATAACGTGTCGGTTAAAACGTTTCTACCGTAATCATTACGTAAACGCTTCGGCAATTACACATCCATAGTCAACCACATACGCATAATTAGAAAAATACCGGTGGTATTCTAACAAATGCCACAAAGTCAATCTTTCCTCCACTATAGTAAATAATAGTATTAATGTGCCATCATGCAATATGTTAAAAAAAAAAGTTTCATTTATGTTCTCTTTAAGTGCTGTCCTATGACTCCATGATAAACGTTTAAAATGGGTAAACGTTTAAAATCCTAGTTGGTAGAGCGGATAATTTTTCTAACCAACTTGCACGATAAAAAGGAACCATTTGGCAACTTTATCATTAGGCAAATATTGATCTCTACTTGGCTGTTAATCGAACGAGTTAACGCGTGCTGAATAACACGATCTAACATCGAAATTGTCTCTTCTTCAACATTATTCGCTGAAAATAAACAATACAAGTGATATACTACGATTGGAATTGTAATTTTATTCGGTAATATACTTGAACTATCATAAAGGATTATATACAAACGTTATTACATATATTCACCCACGTGCAATTACTATTTGCTATCTTTTATGACATCATTAAATTCTTCGTTATCTAGGTTGAGCAATAGGACGAAGAAATGGGAACGGGCAATAAAAGCTTGTATACACATTCTGTTGGAATCGAGAAATTTGAACAATCACATGATACAAGTTACAATAAAATCAATAATATCGATGTCGTTGCGAGTAGCAAAAATTATCTTTTCTAAAATAAGACAAAAAAGTTAATTAATATTAAATAAAATAAAATATCAAATAAAAGAAGTACGGTTAATTTGCCTATAGTAGAAAATCCAGAGTTATACAGCAACATATTTTCTTCTAAAACTCAAAAAATTAATTATTGTCAACTGTGACGGAGAAACTGCAACAAATAACTTCTATATCTTAACAGAACTACATCTTTCATATTTATCAAATCTTCGATAGCTATCTTTGCAATTATGTTCAACATTCCTCGTATTGATATAGCACGATTTTTCTTATTCTGCTCACAAAACACATTGGCACGCTGTGATCGTGTTTTCCGGCACACCTTGTATATGCTACGGAATAAATAAGTCGTCATCAGCACCTAACAATTCGTAGATCAAACGTAGCAACTACGACTGACGCTACATTAGTCGTATAATTCCCCTTCGAAATAATTAAAACGTACAAAATTAAGTCGATTTACATTATTAAATAAGAGGGATATATGTATATGAGAAAAAAAAATCAAAACATACCTGGGGGATATTGGCGTCCAGTTGACGATTGAGCAAGTCCCGTTCCTTTTCGACCTCCTGGAGACGTTCTTCCGTTTCCTGCAGTCGTTCCTGACTTTCGCGCAACGACTCCGCCAACTTGTCCCTCTCATCGAATATCGAGACCATCAGCTGCTCGAAGTTCACATCTTTGCCAGAGTATTGTGAACTCCGCTGGCTGATGTTGTTGTCCTCCGCGATAGTCGGCATCACATCACACATCATATTCCACATTTTGCGTATTCTACTACTCTTTCACACTGGAACTTCACTTCAAATAAACACGTAAATGAGAAACGGACAAACACGCGCGCCGGTTATATGTATGTGTATATGTATATATATACATATATCCACATACATATATATATATGTACCTTTAGTCCGTTGTAAACTTTTCAAATAGTCATTTTCCTAGTTGATTTTCTCACTCGAGTATGTTTCCTTTATCTCTGTTTGTCTCTGATTTATTCGTTTTGAAACTAGACTTTTATTTTTTCCTTTCCTTTTTCCACAGGGTACCGCCGAATCTATCAACATCCACGCGAAAGAATCGCGGCAATATTTCTCTTCAAATGGTGTACTGTTTAACTGAAATATATATTACAATCGTAAAGGCTACCTTTTCCTTTGTATTCTTCACTCGATGAAGGATGGAGATCGTTCTCTTTTTATTCTTATTTAACTAGGACCTACCGGCAAAATCATCACGCGAATAATCTCTGAATAGTTTCAAGTTCAACTTCACTTGCTCGACCACGAGACTTCTCACCGTCATTGAAACTCATGTCTCGTTTTCACCGTCGGACGATACATTCTTAGCGACTGAATATTGTTTACAGAAGGGAATCAATCGATGTGTCGTCGTGGAGCTACACACACGCAGTGTAGATAAAGTCGTAAGCAGCGAGAATATTTCTCTTAAAAAAAATCGATCGTTCACAATAGGAGGAAGATGTAATATCGAACTCACGATTGATTTCACCATAAATACGAATGCATATAATTATTAGTTTGTGGAATCAGTTTTGACAGATTGCAAAAAGGATCTTTGGACACACTGTGCGTTGCGCACACTTGGATTCCTCATACGTTGAGCATACACGCGTACCCCTCTATTTCCATCTCACTTCTTTCCAAAGACGTGAACTGATTTTCTATTGAACCTCGACATGGAACTGACACCTACGGTGCACAGTCAACTCTCTCCTGGAGCCGGGCAGACGAGTCTGACAACCGTGGAATATCCGTGAATAGTACAAAAATGATCACTGGACAAACCACCGTTTACTTCCCACTTTAATGTCATTCAAACACAGTTTCACCTTATCTACTGAACGTATATATCACTACTGTATTATGAACAGAAGAAACTTTATTGCAGGGAAGAGAAATATATTGAGGAGAGTTTGGGACACCGCTTAATTTCCTTCGTTGACTATTTCACGATTTATCATCACCATCCGAGACTCGGCTGACGGAACGATTTCGATCGAACGTACGAGTAGTGCGCGAGGCGCGAGTCAGCGTACAACAATCGGCATTTCGATGGCATTATCGCGGAGAAGCCGAATACTGACACACCTACAATTCGTTCCTACCGCCCAGCCTCTACGCTACTCCATTTCCGATACCGGCAGCCATTTTGCGCCGTGACGTCAGCCTTCGTCCCCGAAGGTACACCCGACTCCGCCCGAATGTCGTACGACTTTCTTTAGCCGCATTTGCAAGTCGCGACAAGATCGATGATTACCTGTGGCGCCATTGCAATTGCAAAGTTTTATCAAAAAAGCGCGGTATATTTGAACTTCCATAATTCTAAACATATCTATAATTTATATTAAACCAATGCCACTGTATTTATTGTAAGAAGCTGTATGTTCCATTTAATATCTAAAACAATAAAAATCGATTAACTTAAGAAATTTATAAATATTAATTTGAAACAATCTGTAAAATATAATAAATATCGAAATGAAATGGACATTGAAATAAATTTGTTTTTTCCTTTAACATTTAAACTCAATGTTATAATAAATAAAGAAATATAAGCACATAAAAAAGGTTGTCATATATTAAGGTTTAACTGTCAGCAAACCTTGAAATCTGTAGAAACATTTACTTTTAATTTTAAAACAGAATTAATTGTTACTTAACGTGATGATTTTGATTACCACAAAAGGGAGGGAAAAAATCAGGGAGACTCAACTTTCCGAAAGATGGAGACTGCGCTACAGCGTGGGATGCTGGATGATCAATACCGACTACCGTGTCGAATGCTGGACCAAGTTATACAGTCAAGAGAGATAGAGGCGAACATCATGAAAACAGTGACGCACACTTGTACGCCAGGAGCTACGGGTATGTAGTTCTAGTTCGAATTTAAAATATTCTTTAAAAAAGTAAGGTTTATATCATCAAATAAAATTTTTCAAAAATTTCTATTCTCTTTATCCAAAACAAAAACCTATCAGAATCTATCAGAAGTATTTCAATTTCTTAAATACTATTACTTCATTAATTTCTAAACAGTAAAGTAATCTCTTTTTGATTATCAGTAGTGAATACTTTTTTTTTTTAATATCTCTCCAAAATAAAACACTTGCCTAACTGTATTTTGGGGAAAATTATTTAATTGAATGTTGTTATTTCTTGAATTACACTATTTTTTCAAGTTTTAGATCTACCTGGAGGTGATTCAATCGAAGATATCGCTGAATCGGTGGATGCAAGGAAGAGGAAAGAGACCTCGGATATTATAGATGGCCACTTTTTATCTTGGGTATTCGGCTCGGCACTAATTGTCATCTTGAGCGTCAGTTTCTACGCTTTTTATAATCTTTACCATGCAGTTTTAAAGAAATTCCCATCGCATCATACGGAATTATAAAAAACGGTAATTTTTATTTTAAGCTATTTTAATCTCTTTTAATATTTGTTAACATCGGGAAAATCATTTTAATTGCCGTAATAATTTACAGGACAAAAATGAAAAAATCATACTGGTTCGCCTTGAATGTATTTGTTTACATTCAATAGACAGTGAAAAGAAATGCCCAAAGATCTCGAACTTCTAACACGATTCTTGAGAAGTATATTGGATAGTAGTTGCTATCCCATGGAACGTCATAATAAAATGTTTGGAGTAGAAGAACAAGTTAGAAAGAATTAGAAGAATGAAAAAAATGACAAGAAGGTTTCTTCTATGTGCACTTAACAAGCTCAATGAACATTTATAACATCTTTTCTGATCGAAAAATTAGGGTAAAGGTCCCGATTATCAATACATAAAGAATAATTTTTTTTTTAAACATATGTTCTGATCTGATAGTTACATGAATACTAATTTCTTTTCTTATTCCATATTATTTAGTTCTTCGGTTATTTAATAAAGGAAATTGCAAAATGATAAACATTTAAATTGCATGTGAAATTAATGAAAAATAAAATCAATGTAAATGTCACAATTACTGATACTTTAGAAACCTACTTGCACCAGTTGTCATGACCGAGAAACCAAAAAATCCTAAATATTGCGACCCATACACCGATAGAAAAGCAATATCTAGGTATGTTACTTTATGTTTCAAGTTTTCAATATATATATTTTTTTCAATTAATATACATTTGAAATTTTTAGTATCATATTTTTTTTATTTAAAGTACTCATAAAAATAAAAAATTCGAAATTAACTTATTTATTATAAAATTAAAGCATTTATATTACTAAATAACAAAAACAAAATATTTTTATTATATTAATAAAAGCTCCACATATTTTTTTAACATTTTTAAATGCTATTTATCAATTATAATATTACAATAATATTATTAAACTCACAATATAATCTAACTCACAATAAATTATTAAAATATATAGATTCTAGTAAACAAACATTACATTAGATATCTATTGTAACTATTGGTTTTCAGAAGTTTGTAGCTTATGTATTTTTAATGCTTTATCATTTATCCTATTTATATTGTTAATTGGAACGGGCTACAACACGTAGATTTACTTTTACATTAACTTCAAATCCCGATAATACTATACAAGTACATAGAAACATCTTTTGTAGTGGATTAAAATTAACTATTTAAAAGTTATAATTGTTTATACAAATCCTATTCCTTAGCTAAACGAAATTCACTTCCAAGACATGTCTTGTATTTTTTAATAATTTCTTCAATCCTAATAATAAATTAATTGAGTACTTTAATTTTTTCATTCTATTAATATCAAATATTATATTAAATTTTTTTTAATTTACATAGAAATACATAAAAGCGACGATATTCTGAACTTTTCGATAATCGAGACCTTTACATTACCCTTTCTATGTTCAATAGAATTTTTCAAAGAACTGTATTATCTCGCAGAAAATCCAGTTATTAAAGAACTACCACATTATGTGTTGAAAAAGAATCAAGTGCCTTAAAACATCTCTCTACGTTATTCATTGTGGTGCATTCGTAGGAACTTGTAATTCTGTGGTTATGAAGAATGAGGCACTTAAAATGAAAAATATGAATAATTCTTTTCAATTCTGAGATGAAAAAAGATATCTTGAATAAAAACAGTATTCAAAATAACCTTTTCATTTTTATTCTTATTTTGGTAAACTACATATCCAAATTATTTATTTCTATATATATATCGTATTGAATGCAATTCTATATTATGCAGTATTTAATATATTCTAATATATATAATATATATAAAAAATATTCATTTTAAAATGTATATTTCTCTTCAATGCAAGAAATTATAATTTGTATTTATAATCGAAATTTGTTCATTGCAAAATTTAATTCTTTTTTTTGCAATGTTAATTTCTAACATACGATTAAACTCAAAAGAAATTGGCATGTCATTTGTTCACTCAAAGGTATATATTATCAATATTAGATAAAAATTACAACTCACTCGGAAATAAACGATTTTCTCAATCCACTCGATACTACATCGATTTTCGGTAAAGCAGTATTTGAAACTTCTTAATGATTCATTCTGATTTTTTCTCTTTAATGCGAAAAGCAGCACTAAAAAAATTTAATTAAAAATAATTATTATATGTATCTACAAGAAAATAATAAAATTTCTCACAATAAAATAAAATGACTCACACGAGGATGTCTTAATTTCTCGATACCCGAAGCTGCAAACATTAAAAAATAACAATTAAAGTAATAAAAATTAATTTTTAAACAAAATGAAAAATTGTACGATAACATACAAAATAACGTTTTTTTATTTTCTAACTCCTTGGAAAAATTATTCAGCATTTTTTGATAATCTTCTTGTTGCTACAATTATTTTATGAGTTGTTATTTCTATTATTTCGAATACGTTTGCTAATTTTTATGAAATAAAGGCATTACCTTTAATACTTCACTCCTAAGAGATTCTCGTCGAAATGATAAATTCGAAATTTGATTTTGCAATGTTTTTACCTAGCGAATATAAATTTAATTGCATAAAACTAAGTACTATGCGTATATATATATATATTTTACTCTAACCTCATCCTCAGTTTTTCGAATGTCTTTTTTTAATTCAATCATCAATGGGCGATATCGATCTCGACAAAACAATGTTTTATTTTCTAAATCGGTCAATACCTTCTCTGTATTTTTTATTTCACATTGCGAATTTTGTAACTGTGTATATAACATATTTGATTATATTTTTTAAAGAAAAAGACTTAGTCACGAACAATAACAAATTAATTTCTCACCACGTGCACTTTCTCTGTAAGTTTCTCAGTTAATACTTCCAATTTGTCATCTACGCTATCGCGACTCTGAAATAAACAATTGTCAGCGTTTTTGAAAGTAAAAATTAAGAGTTAAGAAAAATCTAAAAATGTCATCAAGAAAAAAGTACAGTACAATACAATCTATTAATATTCGTTCTTTAATAATGAATTTTAATTAAAAAGAACTGTTTTTAACTGACTTCAATTAGAAATTCCACTTCCAAGTTTATATTTTGGGGTAAAATCTAAGAAACAAGATTTATATTACAGAAATAGAATATATAAATTCTTGAAATATGACAAGAGAAAATTGTATTAATAAACTTACACATTTTCTCAATTCCTCTGTTCGAGCATTATACTTTATCAGAAATAATATTATTAATTAACATAAAATATTGTCAATTACATTAAGGAAAAAGAATTCTTACCATAACCAGAAGAAAAGTGACAACGCAATAAATTATAAAAATAAAAATACATATTATTTTAAAAGTGCAAACTGCGAATAATATAAACCACATTATGAACAATTTTGTATTAATACTCTATCTAATGAAAATAGTTAGCGAAAGCATACGAATAATAACCAAAAACTCTTAAATTTATGATAAAATTCATATTCATAAAAGCCGAAGATCTAACGTCATTTCCATTTTGAACGACTTCTTTATCGAAAAGGTTTGAGAATCGAAACATGTATCGAAATTTAAATATATCGACTTATCGATTGAACACATTGAACGTACAATTTATTAAAAGTTTAAATGTATGTAAAATTAAGTTCAATAATATTTTTTAATTAAACAATTGTTTGTTAACTTTATAAATATGTATTAACATAAAATACACTCATATATGTAAAAGATAATAATATCTATTATCTTCTATAGTATTATAATCTTAATAGTCATATGCTAAAATTATAACATATCACTTTATTCTGAAATGATAATTTATATTTGACTAAAAGCATTACTATGATCCAATATTACAAGCTTTAATAATAGAACGCACGTTCTAACAGTTCAGATATTTTGAAATTCTGATTTGTACATGTTAATTACATAAGTGACGTAATTATTACTTTTCATAGAATTTAATGCTGAAACACGCGAATTTAAAATGTGTTTATATTACAATTTTGCAAAGAACGATTTTAAAGATTCATAGAAGTTATACAAATAATATAACCTATAAAAATGAAATATTTAAACATACGCAATTCATTAGGAAGAAAAATCACAGAAAATTTAATCATAATTCTCACAGTTCACTTTATACAACAATGTTACCCTCGCAATCGCAAATTGTTATTGCAGGTGCAGGAACCGTAGCTAATTCAGTTGCTTATCACCTTGTTATTAATGGTTGGAATGATGTACTTGTTCTGGAACAAAATAGGTATATATCCATTTATCTATTTTAATAAATTATTAATTATTATAAGCTAAGTAAAATAATTAATAGATATTAAAACTATAATAAATCCTTAACTTCTGACATGATATTCATAATTATGTATAAGTTTTCTTATTTATTATCTTATGTATTTTAATCAGCAACTATCAAAGAATTTCAATTTGTAAAACTACTAGCATACAAATTACTTTATTTAAAAGTGATTAATGATCATAATCTAAAATATTTAAATGAAATCAATATATTTTTATACTATAGAATTGGAAGTGGGACATCTCATTTTGGCTCAGGTACACTTGGTATTTTCAAACCTATATCCCATAAAAACTTAATCTCTTATAGCCTTAAGTTGTATCAACAACTACAAGAAATGGGATATGACATAGGTCTAAAACAATGTGGTAGCATATATTTAGCCCAAACCAAAGACAGAATGATAGCTTTAAAAAGAAGGATGGCTTATAATATATCCACAGGTTTAAAATGTGAAGTAAGATTTATTAATAAAACATAAAAATTGAAATATAAAAATAAGTTTTAATGAATTACAAATGCATTAGATTTTAGGAAAAGATCAATTAAAACGATTATTTCCATATTTATATATTAAAGATATTGAAGGTGCAGTTTGGGTTCCTGAAGATGCAATAGCCAATTCTAGTGCAATCTGTGATGTTCTAGCTAAATTAGCAAAAATTGGGGGAGCAAAGTACATTGAAAACTGTCATATAAAAGAAGTTTACACTAAAAATGGAGCTGTAAAAGGTGTAAAAACTGAATATGGAGTAGTTTCCTGTGAATACTTTGTTAATTGTGCAGGAATGGTAATATCACTTTTAGAAATATAGAATTATTTTAATGTTATTTCTTACAAAAATACTTTTCTATTTTCAAAATATAGTGGGCGCGAGAATTAGGATTAAAATGCTATCCACCTGTTAGAATTCCAGCATATCCTGCAGAACATTTTTATGCAATTGCTTCTCCTTTTCCATCTAATACAAATGTAACTTTGCCATGTATACGAGATTATGATTCATATTCTTATATGAGAGAGTGGCAAGGTAGTTAACATATTAACATGTTTTATTTGATTTAATTAATCTATATATTAAATAACTGAATGTATAAATTTATAGGTGGTTTATTAATTGGTTGGTTTGAACCAGAATCAAGACCTGCATTTGAGAATGGTATTGTCCCCATAAAAAATTGGAAAAACCATCTTACAGTTGATACTTTACATTGGAAACCTTTATGGGATAAAATAATACATAGACTACCATTGTTAAAAAATATACAGCCAAGTGTATATAATTGTCCAGATAATTTTACACCAGATGGTAGATGGATATTAGGAGAAAGTCCAGAAGTAAAGAACTATTTTGTTGCTGTTGGCATGAATGGAAATTCATTACAAGGTAGAAAGTTGCAGATTCTCTAATCTTTTCCACTACTGAAATTATATATCTTTAGGAGCAGGAGGGATAGGTAAAGAAGTTGCTGAATGCTTGATAAATGGTGAATCTACACAAGAATTACTCCCTTTTAGCGTGCAGCGGTTTTTAAAGTTACATAGTAGTAAACAATATTTGCAGCAAAGAACAAAAGAAATTGTTGGGAGAAATTATGCAATTTTATACCCTCATCAATGTGAGTACAAATATGCTCGGAAACTACGTTGTTCGCCTCTATATTCTGTTCTTGAAGAAAGAGGTGCAATTTTTGGTGTCAAAATGGCTTATGAACGTCCACTTTACTTTAATTCAACTTACAGAAGTAAGCAATTAATTATTTAATTCTTTTTTTCATCTTATCGCATTCAATTATGCATCCACATTCATAAGCACGTTTTATTAACAGGAGGTCAAAAAAAGCCAGTCATGCCACCAGGTAGTTTTTATAAACCTAAATTTTTTGATTTTATGAAAGAAGAATTTTTAGCATGCAAAGAAGGAGTGGGAATAATAGATATGAGTTCATTTTCGAAAATCGAAATTAAAGTAAGTTTCTAAAATCTGTTTAATATTTTACATGTAACTAATTATATATCTACAGTCTAGTCAGTCAGAAGTTGTACAATATCTACAACAATTGTGTTCTAATGATGCAAATATACCAGTTGGTAGTATAGTACATACAGGAATGCAAAATGAAAGAGGAGGATATGAAAATGATTGTATTTTAGTAAGACAAACTGAAAATAGTTATTTTATGGTTTCACCTACATCACAACAAACACGTATCTATCAATGGATGTCTAGGTAAAAAAAAAAGAAAAAAGGAACAAAAACCAGATAATATATACGATGACCTAAATTTGTTTTAAAAAAATGATTTATTTATGATACAGACATTTACCACCTGACCATTTAGTAGGTCTTAATGATGTAACTTCAAAATACACTGTCATTAATTTAGTAGGACCTAAAGCAACAGGACTACTTTCAGAACTTTCTAATTCTGATATTAATCTTTCTCCATTTACATACAAGGTAATCAGTTTCCATTGACTTTTATTAATTATGTTATCAATAATTATGTTAGCAATAAATAAATTTTGCAATGTTAATATAAATATTAATTTTATATTTTTAACAGAATGTAAATGTAGCATATGCATCTGATGTAATGGTAATGTCATTTACACATACTGGTGAATCTGGTTATTGCTTATATATACCATCAGAATATGCACTTCATGTATACTCCAGATTAATGGAAGTAGGTAAAGATTATGGGATCCGAGATGTAGGTGTACTCACACAACGTTTTATGCGAATAGAAAGATTTATCCCATTTTGGGCAGAAGAATTGACACCATTTGTTACACCATATGAAGCTGGAAGTGGGTACAGTGTAAAATTAGATGTGAGTAAATATAAATTAGTAGAATTTATTTATACCACAAGCATTAATGTTAGATTTGCATTTATAAATATTTCTATTATTCAACAACTTAATACTTTAAACATTATGATTAATTATAAAAACTTATTACAACAGAAAGAGTATTTTATTGGCAAATTTGCTTTACAACGTCAAAAAGAGCAAGGTGTATCAAAACGATTAGTATTATTTGTTGTTAATGAATTAGATATAAACAAAGATGTATGGCCATGGGGTGGTGAGCCTGTTTATCGAAATAATGAATTTGTAGGAACTGTAACATCAGCTGGGTAAATATTTTACATAATTAAAGATAACATATATTTTTGATGATTATATAAAATTATTAATGATTTGACTTTATAGATATGGCTTCGCTGCAGAAAAACATATCTGTCTAGGTTTTATTAGTTTGCCTAAGTCAAGATATATACAAACTAACCCAAATATTGTTACAACAGATTTCATAATGGAGCCTAAAGCTCATTATGAAATTGATATTGCTGGAACTAGATTTCCTATTAAACCGCACATTCGTCCATTACCCATACCAGCCCTGAGTAGTAAACTGAATAAAAAGTATATTCCTACACCTATTGTAGCATATTAGATCGTCGTTTTCTGTTAAAAATTTTCCTTTTACTATTTGATTGCAAATTTAATCATTATAGTTGTAAATGAAAATTAAAGAAAAGTGGACTTTTAATTTTCAAAAGATAATTTTCTCCACAATTTTAAGTAATTTGTGCTCATAAAATTATTTATATGTTTTAATTAAATTTAACCTAATTTAAATTATTTTATTTATATTTTGTAAAAATATGAATACTTTATAAAGATTACCAACATATTAATTCGATACATTTAAAATATTTGCAATTCAATAATTGTTAATTAATAAGGTGTTTATAACACTAAAAAATTAAAATTTTAATTAAAAGATATATATGTAAGTATATCTGCTTTATTTGTTACTGTACTAAATTAATATACATTTAAATAGATTTATTTAAAGCAGATACATTTATACAAAGTTTAAAATACCATTTAACAACTCGAGCAGTACTATTTCTCAAAATATATCATACTTATATACATTAAAGTAGCCTACAAGTTTTAAAAAGCAATTGTATATCTCTGCATTTAATCTTCTACACACAATGTTTCTGATAAATTTGTATTTTTCATTGTTAATATAAATTATACGTATATAATTTGCCAGCATTTATATCTGCATATGTAAATCATATATTTCTTTGATGCAATTAATTTTCTTCATTCAATAACAAAATATGCTGACTGGCTTAAATACAAGTATTTAAGATACTTATTACTTCTGAAGCTTTTTTCCATCATTTCAATTAATTATTTTAACAGTGCATAAAAAATACTGCAGTGTTAACATTAGAATAATTATATGATATTAAATCTGAAAAATGTATTCATGTACACTACTATCTCCTTCAACAATATATACTTAATTTTAGCTATCAGTTTCTTACAAAATTTATTTTTACAAATATTTTGATACCATTTTATGATGCCCATGCTTCTAACTCTTTTAAATCTTCATCCTCTTCAGGTTTGGGTTCTATAAATATTAACATATTTAATTAAAAAAAAATTAGTATAATAATACATTACACAAAATAAAAATGTTATTACTTGTGCGAGTCCTAATTGGAGCAGTTGGAATAGCAGTAGCTGGAACATTTGGTAATTCATTGGTAGATTCAATACCAAGCAATTCTTTATCAAGTTGTTCTTGTTCAAGCTCTTCTAACTCTTTTTCTAATTCTTCTTCATCTACATCATGACCAAATGCTACAGGATTGGAAATTGCATCAGAAATTTCTCTTGCAACATCTTGTTGTTCAGCTATATCATCCATCATATCATGTACTTGATCAACATCCCTAAATGAAAAAAATAACGTTTTAATAAATTACTTATTTAAATTTCTTTTAACCATCTAATTAACACTATTACAGATCTGTATTTCTTACATGTGCTGGTGAACAGATTTTAATGCATCTGCTGCATTTTTCATTGTAGTAAGTATAGCAGTATTAGTATTTGCGCATTCAAGAGCTTCCCTTTGACTTTCAATAGTAGTGAGTGTACCATCGATTTGCTGCAATTGTTTTTCATAACGTTTTTTTCTTCTGAGTGCTTGAATTGCAGCTGTAAAACACAATTTACTTCTTAACATACACCACATATTTTTAGAATTATAAATCAAGATGAATAACTCAAGATGAAATACTGCAGAGAGTTGTTCATAATTTAAAAAATAATTTAATTTTTTGTTTAATAAAATTATAACAAAAGTATTTTTTCAAAGCACTAATTAATGGTTGAAATCTAATTACAAGTTAACGAACGCTGAATAGGAAACAGAGAAACGTCATAATGATAAATGACCTTATTCATTGTGAGCTGTTTGTAAATGATTACTAAATGAAGAATATTATCCATTAATACCTCTCTTGTTTTTTGTTCCATTTTTCTTAGCAGTTTGAATTTCAAGTTCTATTTTACTTTCAAGAAAATCTTGTTTCTTTATCAACATATCTTCCGTCTCCCGTAATTTTTGTATCGCTTCAGCTGTTGATAAAGGCGCCGGTTCCTTTTTACCACCGAATACTTTACTAAAGAAACTCATTGTCTTAATAAATTATATTCCAAATTTAAATTGTAATTACACCTTTAAAACGACAAACACCATACACTTTAGACACAATCAACAAGATTTCACACTAACCAAATACCATCGCCATATTCCTTTTGGCATTGATATACGTACGTCATGACTCATCGCTAAGTGACTGAAAAATTTAATTTCATTCAATCAAAATCTAGGAATATTTAAATTATTTATTTGTAAAACTTATTTTTTAACTTTATAATAATAAATAAGATGTACGATCAAATCCATAATGGAGATAAAACTGTATGTAATGAAATTAAAATTTTAGTAAAAAATTATTACTTTTTACTGAAATTTTAATCGCCTTAAAAATTATATATAAAGTACTTTCATATTTTATTTAAAGAATCGCTATATAAAAGGATATATTCAATACAAAATGTATATATAAAATATTTTATATTATAACCTCATGATTTAGGTATATGACCGTGATTTGTATGTAAACAAGAGTTTAAAATTTTTGTGCTGAGCTCAAGGATTTGCACTTGGAAGAAATACAGGTCTAATTAACTAGAATAGCAGGCCATTATCCTATTTTTTTTTTAAAGTGATCTTATGTCAATATTTTTCCTATTAACAAAAGGAATCACATCATTGATTCAATAGATAATAAAGAAGAGCGGGTCATGTAAAAAATAAGAGAGATAAAGTGATATGTACGATCAACTTCGATATACTTGTCACTACAGAAATTAGAAATACAAAATATTTATACCATTCTATTGTTCTCTTTTTCCTTTTTTTTGTTTTTTTTTGTTAGTTTGTTATATCTGGTTTGATTTATTGTAGAAAGGAGACAACAAAACGATACTGGCTGTTGACTCCAGCAGTCTAATGTCATTTCACTATTTTGATACATTGCCTGTTTATACATAGTTCTGTACGGAAACCTTTTGGTCTCAACTTTTTTATCTACCTTGAACATACATTTATACACAAATTATTAACAAAATCGTAATAATTTATTATACAACTTATTAGTAAACATAAACAAATACATATAATGTAAACAAATTTAATTATTTACTATTATACGAAAACTTATTTGACCCATTGTAAGTATGTTAGTCAGTTGACAATGAGTTTATATATTTTCATTCACGTGCAATAATTATAATTCGCAGAAATCATTTTTATTACACTGCCCAAAGATTTGATACATAAGGTATTTTTGCTTGCCCATATTCCAACATTTATAAATATCAATTTCTATATAACTTCTCGAAGTGAACAGCACAATGGAATGTGTAAGTATACATTATAAAAAATAGAAATGTTATTCTTTATATATTTCAAAAACTGTCTTTGTGCTTTGAAGTCATTTATTCCTTTCATATGATGTAAGAAATCACATTTGATTCGTCCAATATTCCATAAGAATATTTCAAAATAAATGTGTATAACCAACAATATTATTTTCTTTTTAAGTAAGACTACAATTAAAAATTATATAATATTTTGTAACTCATTTTTTGTAATAAAAATTACTATTTTAAGGATTTTCAAGAAAAATTATCAAACGATGAAATTACCAAAACTTACAATAAGTTGAAAGAAGTTTTAAATGAAAGAAATGTAAGAAGTTATCCAAAAGTATCTACACAACCCAACTCTCTACGGGAGCTTGATTATGATGAAGTATATCCAAGTATATATATTGGTAATGCGTGAGTATTTTAAAGTTTCTAATAATCTCTTGATCTTTATATAAAATCAATTTACACTTAATACTTTATAGTGCCACAGCAAGAAATAAAGCTCATCTTTTACATTTGGGTATAACACATTTGCTTAATGCTGCTGAAGGAAAAGAATTTGGGTGTGTAAATACTAATGCTAGCTATTATTCTGATACAACAATAAAATACCTTGGTTTACAACTTGTTGATTGTGACAGTACAGACATTAGCAGGTATTTTCATATTATTCAAGACTTTATCGATGAAGCTATTTCTGCGAGAGGTAATTTTGTAACAGTTTAAATTAAAAAAGCATGATTAACAATACTCGAGTAAACATCATTTAAAACTATTTTTCTTTTTTTTATTAGGCAAAGTTTTTGTTCATTGTGTGTTAGGAATTTCACGTAGTGCAACATGTGTGTTAGCATATTTAATGCTTAAAAAGGGAAAGTCAGCTGCAGAAGCAATTCAATTAGTCCGAAGGAATCGTTTCATTCAACCAAATTGTGGTTTTCTTCGTCAACTAGCAGTATTAGATAATCAGTTACAAAGTTTACGAAAGTAGATGCTGATAAGTTGACAATAAAGACATTTCTCTATGATGTCCTATCATGTTTCATAATGATAGAATACATAAAATTTTATAGGTATATATTACATATAAATAATTGTATATAAAAATAAAATAGATACAATTAAAAATAATATGTTCTTACGTAAATATGCATTTTTTCATAATTAATTGATAATTATGTTGATATCAAATTACTTGGTATTTTGTTCTAATCTAAATTATTTATTTACAAATTTAAAAAGAAATTCTAAAATGTTTATATTTATAATTTTTGTTTAAAATTATATAAAGTATATATAAATAAATATTATGAATATGTGTATTCTATGAGATTACAATCACATAGACCATATTACAATTCACGATATAAAATAATTTATGTACAATATTACATCATTTCCTATAATATCTTTTTGTCTCATGAATTGTATTATTTAATAAATTACGAAGTTAATGTAATGTAATAATAATGTAATATTATAAAAGATGCTTAACTTCTCATTATTATTCTTACTAATTCTTATCTTTGTTAATTTATAACTCGTGGTCGTTTAGAATGAGTCTCCGCAAGCGTAGATGAATGATTGGGACTACCCATTTCATTTACATTTTCTATATCTGGTGGGCCACTACGTTTTCTTGCCTTTGGAGATAATTGTTTTAAACATTCCATATCGTTAAATACAACTTGTGCACCCCCTCCACTAGTGGGTATTATATCTCCCTAATACAATAACAATACATTTATAACATCATATAATTATATAATTTTCCAATTTGTTCAAAATACAAATTACCTTAAATAGCTTTGTTTCAAGTTCACCATCGGTATCGTGTTCTTGTGCAACAAGACAATATCTCGATACACCGCCTGTAATTTCTTTTGGATCTGTAAGTCGTGTAACGCTACGTCTTTTATACATTAAAGGTTGCAGAACGGTTCCTACAGGAACAATTGCTCCTGGTCTATGATCAACCCATCTATCAGCGCTTTGTGAACGCCTATACCTTGGGTTTGCAACAGCTACTTTATCCTACAAATATATATTTACTATCTAACTATGTGTTCAAAATTAAAGTACTTAACAAATTAGCAATAAACTGACCCTTCGCGATCGACCACCTACTGCTTTTGCAGTTACTTCTGCGTAATTAGAAGTAGGCGTTGGATGATCTTTGGAACCATTAGGTATGGAATTAATACCATTATCATCAACTAAAATTTGTTTTACCAGTCTTAATTTGTCATCTTTCTCCTTCATTTGATTCTAAAAAAGAAATAATAATTTCATAGATACTTTGTATTTTTAATCAGTAAATTTATATATCACAATATTCTTCATTTTACTACCTGCAATTGTTCACGTTGTTGACGTAACTTTATCTCCAATTCCTTATTCATTTTATCAGTTTCTACTTGCATTTTGGTATTGTATTTTTGTTTCACTCTTTGTTTATCTATTAAACGTTGATTTAGTGCCATATTCCTATCCTTTAACTATAAAATAATTATGGTACAATATATTTAATCATTTAAGTAGAAAGAGAAGTACATTTATTAATTACCTCTTGTTGTAAATTGCGTATTGTATCATTTGCATGATTCAATTTTCGGAGCAAACTATCAATTTGTTCTTCAGTTTTACATAAATGACCCTCTAATGCAGAAACCTAAAAGCAAACATAAATTATTGTATGTATGATTTCACAATCAGTAAAATATTTTTACCTTCTTTTTTTGTTGTGAATTGGCTGCTTTTAAAGAGGCATTTTCAATTTTTAAATTCATATGTTCCTGTTCCACTGTCATTAACATTTTTCTAAGATTGGTTTCTACAAATATAACCGCAACGATATTATGCATATTTGAAGTTTTGTTAAAAAATAAATTATGGTCTTACGCTTTTGCTGTAAATCAGTACGTAGTATATTCCGTTTATTAATGCGCTGCTCCAAAAAATGCATCAAACTAGTGATTATTTGATCGTTACGCGGAGAACTAATCTCCAATTCAGGAAATGGACCACCCAGACTAAATTACAATAAAATTACAATAAAATTAAATAAATTAAATAAATTAAAAAAAAGAGTAAAAAAAAGGAGCTGTAATACTTACCTATATACTAAACCCACATCAACTTCAAAATCACAAGCTTCAGGACGTCCTTCTTTTTGAAATTTACTACGCCCCTCTTTAAATAACTATGGAAAATAGTTTTTATCAAATAAATATTTCCACATTATTTTCGTTGTTCTTTTATTACCTTATTTGCTTGCCTTCTTCCAGGTGTAAAACCAAGATCTATTTTTGTAATTGTTGGTCTAGCTACTTGAACTTCCTGAGTCATTTCCGCAAATTTCATCACTTGCTATAAAACAAGAATAAGTTAATTTATTTCGTTTTATATATTTCATAATACAAATTTCTTACAATTGTTTCATCATAATCATCCGTTCTTGGATTAACACAAACGATCATTCTAACTTGTCCTTCTCCATCAAAATAATTTTTAAATAAATGGGTAAGCTTTGAATCCCTGTAGGGTACCATTTTATTTGTACCTTGTAGTTGGTTTTCTCTTAAAATTTCCAAACAAGATCGTAGCGTCATCAGAGAATTGTTAATATTCCCTATATTAAAATAGATAGTTATAAGAACTTATTACAATGTAATCATAAGAGTTATATCTAGACAATAATAACCTGCTTCCCTCAATCTTTGACCTGTATTTTTTGTCCTATTAGTTCTTTCACTACCAGCTAAATCTACTAGAGACAATTGAGTGATACATATCACTCGTTTATCTTGTATAACTTGTTCACCTTCACAATCTAAAGGAGCCTATAAGGGAACAATACTCTATTAGTAAACATTAGTAAACACTAATTACATAGAATACAAAGTAATTAAAAATATTACTTGTACAAGACGAATAGTGAAGACACTATGTGACCTGCTTGATTCTGCATTAAGTGCAGTATGTGCAACTCTTCGCCTTCGCTGTCCACGTTGAAATACTTCAAATGCTTCTTCCGAACTTTTTACTTCTATTTCTGTTACAGCATGTACATACATATTCTTATTACCATCTTCTCTAACTATTTTACTCTGTAATGTTCTAAAAATTGTATTAATATTAGTAAATTATTTGGAACAAAATATATTTATATTAAAAATAAATATATCATTATACTTGTTTCTAATATCCTCATCCTCCAATAAATCATACACACTATTATTATATATTTCAACATAAGTAACAAACACAGCATAGACATTATCTTGATCTATTTGTATTGTTTGTGATTCATTAATATCACGAATTATCATTGGATTACTATCACCATCACTTTCTGCTTTACGTCTAAGAAGAACATACCAATAAAAATTTATTAATTTAAACTCTAATTATCAATCAAAATATCTACATAAAACAAATTATTCTTATACTTACGGTTTACCAGATTTTCCATTTCTCTGAGACAAAAGACCAGCATGAAGTTCATTTTGCCTCTCAAGCATTGCATCAGCTTCACTTTGTATATCAAAACTATTTAACTTATCTGGTCTAAAGATAAATTTTTTTGTCTGATAGTTAGCAATACTGTTAAAAATAACATCAAGACAACGAGGCATTATGCCGGCATCTTGTGGTTCACCAGTCATAGTATATGTTTTACCACTTCCTGTTACTCCATAAGTAAATAAAAGACTGTTTCTGCCACGAATAACATTTTCAACTAATGGAAGAGCAACAACATTAAAAATCTCTTTCTGTGTTGCATCCGGTGTAAACACATGACTAAATGTTGTTTGAATTTCTTTATTGCTAGAATTACGAAAATTTATTGCTGACTCAGGTGATGTAATAATCACAGTTGTATCAGATATAAGCTTCATACATGATACATCAGTAGGATGTTGCATTGGCCTTAAACGACAATAAACTTGAACTGGATCCTTCGACATCATATTATTTCCCCTTGGACGATTTATTGGTTTCCGAGCGGAACCTGGTGCTTTCACGCGTCTAAAATATTAATATAATACATTTATTTCTAATTTTTATACAAATTACACATAATCAGTAATCAAACTATTATTAAACGATTAAATTTTAAAACATAAAACTGGAAAGAAATAAAATGTTATAACAGCACAACATCAATAATTATTAAACCTCAATTAATTTTGTCCGTAGTCAATTGCGAAATAATAAAACTTACACAGATTTCATTCTCCTGCGATTATACTTTTATTTTAAATTATACTATTTTAAAATTCAATATTATACGTTCCTTATTTCTTGATAGATGCTTCAAACCGTAGACCGTTGTCCTGACTCAATGTTCAAAATTCAAATCTAGTTACAAAGTGAAATAGGTATTTGCAATGCTACCAATATTCATACAAAAAAATTTTATAAATGATAATACCAACCTATATACAATATAATTACGATACAAAATCAATTTAACAAGGAGAGTGCAAGTACTTTGGGTCACCGATTTAGTTTAAACTTTGCAGCTTTGTAGATATCGTCATGCAGTTTCAGAAAATATATTATTATAACCGCAACTACTCAATAGATTTTGCGATATTTACGATCAAAGTTGTATTACTTTCTGTATTCCATATTTATTTCTAGTATATTTCAACTTAATTTGTAGCGTAATGGTAACGATCGAGAATTGCTGTATTGGAAGTGGAGGAGCTAGCGTTCGATTCCCGTTCCACAGTTTTTCACTATATTTTTTATTTTGTATTTATTTTTCGCCTATGAAAACATTGTAAATAAAATTTCTTAACAAAAAAATTTATTTTTTACGCTTTCTTATGCTAGTATATATTTATTATAAAATAATAAGAATATTATGCAAGAAAAACAATTTTCTATAGCAATTTTATTTATTACAAAAAGAAAACGAAAATATAAATAATCAGATGGAAGAAATACAAAACCTATCGCTCATGTAAGTATTAATTATTAAATTAAATATTGTATAAGAATATTGCCTATAATTCCAACTTTGTTGTGCAGCTATAAATGTTCATGAATTAATTACAAAAACTCGGAAATTTATCTCTAGGATTGATTTTTAGTATCTAGTTCGAATAAAAATTTTACCGCCTGCGATCAGCGCCATCTATGATTTTGGACCATTTGCTCCGAAAAGTAGTAGGAACATAGAATAGGCGAGGAGGTCGTGAAAGAGCTTATCACGTGACAGACAAGGTCAGAGAGGGGACAGAAAAGGATAGAAGGGCTTCGACAGAGAGAAGTTAATAAATTACTCAATTTCCGTAATTAATTTATGAACTTTTATAATTTCATTGTAAAACTGGAACTTCAGGCAACATTCCTATATAACTTTTGTAAATAATTTAACTCTAAATTGTAAGTTATTAATTATCGTTTGATGGTGTCTATGATTTCGTAACGACAACCATCGCGACCTTCCATGAACATATTTAATACTAAACGAAACTAGAATCAAAATGTGAACAAAAGTGATATGAGAAGATTCGCAAGAACATTGTTTTTATAATGAGTGCATAAAGTTTCATAAATTAATTGTGTAAAGGGTAGTAATTAAAGAAAAACCAATGGCGTCTTCGACAATTTTCGACAACAATTCAAACACTGCGCAGAACAATTATTAATAATTAATTAATTAGGGACAATTTTATATCGAAAAATATATTGGAAAGTTCTTGAAGAATCTGGCTTTACGATGCAATTATAAAAGTTCATAAATTAATCACACATATTGAGTAATTAGTGAATTTTCCACGGCCGATTTGATTTATTAAATAATATATTCGGAGCACATAACCAGAGTTAGTAAACTGACATCAGAGCCATCTATGATTTTAGACTCGAAGCTCGAATTCCGCAACGAGAATACAGATGGCTTGCTCTCTCCTTGTAAAACACGATACAAAAAAGATTTTAATTTACATATTAATGTCAAATAACATTAAAATACTTATACTAAAATCATTTTCATTAAAAGAATGGTACCAGAAAATAATACAATAAAAAATTTATTTCCCATTAGAGAATTTATTTTTTATATTTATACAAAGAGACAAAGTTTCATAATTATTTCTTAGTCTTCTTGTCTTTAGCGACCTTAGTAACATCATCTGGATTTTCTGCTGCATCCTTCACGCGTTTTGCACGAACTCCAACTAATCTAGCATCAGCTCTAGCCTTACGAAGCGTTACGTATGCAGAGAACTTTCTTTCTTCCTCAGAAATGACACGTGCCTTAGCTTTAGCTGGTGCTTGGTGTCTCACTGGCATGATTTCTCCTCTAACTTGAGTTGCGAGTTTCATCTCCTCTTCAGTAGCATCACCTTCTTTAGGCTTTTATCATAAATAATATTAGATTGAAATTTATTTCTGATTACTTTAAATTTTTTGTATTATACTTACTTTCTTTTCATTCAGTGGGAACAGAATCAATTTTGATTTATATTCTTTTAGTCTTTGAGCATTTGTTTGCAAAGACTCAACTGATTTATTACGTCTTCTAGGATCTACTGCAATTCCAATCGTTCTAGCAAATCTTTTGTTTAAACCACTAGCTTTCAATTCCTCTAATGTAAAACCTTTACCAGCTCTAACTTTTGTATGATATCGGAATGTTGGGCAATGAACAACAGGTCTCAGAATCTTAACAGGTCTTAAAATTTGTGTAAAACATTATTGAAATTATTTCACATACGTGGATATTATATAAGAAATATATATTCAAAACAAAATATTACAAAAATATAAAATTAAATAAATGTCTATTATTTACCTTGGGGCAAGAGTACGAGCTTTCTTTACACGGCTTTGTTTACGACGATATTTTCTAGCCGGTTGATTAAACCAGGTTTTAACGAATCTTTGCCAATCTTTATGGAAGTGCCCATTAGGGATCATATTATTCCTTTTACCCATAATTAATCTGAAACAAAAGTACAAATTTATAATTTCCTTTTCAAGAATTATAAATTATTCCCTAAATATGAAAATTAAAGAAACATATCTACCAATAAATTTATACGATAGGTTAGAACAAATCTATTATAAATTGTAAATAAAACATTTAATTCTTATCATAAATAAAATTTTTCATAATTTTAATATAACACTACAATACGTATGTAATTATTACATACATTTTTCTATTCAAAAGGATATTTTATTGGGTATAAACATATTTATGGGAAAAAGTTAACTTACTGACGAATGTCAAAAAAATGTCTTTATTTATTATGCTATACAATTACAAACGTATTATTTAATTACATTTGAAAACAAAAATAATAATAATTTTCTACTACTTTGAAAAGTATTAATTCAAGATGTTAAATTTCTAGTTGGATTTCAAACTTAAAAGATTACTTACGAATTTGTTTATGTAGCATACACCGGAAAAGGAATCAATAGTACAAAACGGAAGTTTTAATTCTCAACAAAACAAAATTCATTAATTGAAATTTGAAGTTGCTTATATATACAATAAAATTATATTTATAAAACATTATTTATTGACAAATGTTGTATAATTAGTTTTACTAAAATAATTTAAGCACAAAATATTGTTTGTTTGAAGTAGTTAGAGAATATGGCAACTTAAATAATACTACATTCGTACTAGACAGTTGTACATCTTACATTTAATTTTAGAATAAGTGAACAAATGTTTAAACAGTTAAATTATAAAATGAATATCACAGAAACACTTATATTGCATTATAATAATATTTTTGTTAAGAGTATTATTACACGATATGCTTCGAACGGCATAAACAAATTTTCAGTATGAATTTTACTTAATAGTTAAACATGTTTGATTAATAATAATTAAACATTACAAATTTATATTATTTTTATAACAATGTGTAAAAGATTAATTTTTTGTCTAGTCCCCAGTACTTACAAGTGCAATAAAAATGGATATAGAAAAACATTGGAAAGATAAAATTAATATTTACTCATATAATGATGCAGATAAGACAAAAAAAAGATTTTATATATTACCAATGTTTCCATATCCTTCTGGATCACTTCATATGGGTCATGTAAGAGTTTACACAATAAGTGATACTATTGCTCATTTTTATCGAATGAAAGGTAAACTTTTTATTTGAAAATATCTAATTATATATTTTATTAATGTATGTTATATGATATTTAAAAGATTTTGATTACCTTATTATTTTACTTTAGGATATAATGTCCTTCATCCAATAGGTTGGGATGCATTCGGTTTACCTGCTGAAAATGCTGCAATTGAAAAACAAATTGAACCATCTAAATGGACATACAATAATATTAAACATATGAAAAATCAATTAAAGTTATTGAATTATTCTTTTGATTGGGATAGAGAATTTTGTACATCTGATCCTGAATATTATAAATGGACACAAGAATTATTTTTAAAACTTTTTGACAGTGGTTTAATTTATAAGAAAGAATCATTTGTTAATTGGGATCCTATTGATGAAACTGTATTAGCAGAAGAACAAATTAGTATAGATAATTGCTCTTGGAGATCTGGTGCTAAAGTACAAAAAAAATTGTTAAATCAATGGTTTATTAGAAGTACAGCACTTGCTAAGTGAGTAGCAAATTAAATTTAATCGTGTAAAATATGTCAGAATATGAAAATTAGAAATAATATTTAATTATATAATCCTTTTTATGTCATATCAGGTCAGTGTTTGAAGGTTTAAATGATTCAATACTAGAAGGATGGAAAGATGTTAAGAAAATACAACAAAATTGGATAGGTGAATGTAATGGTTTTAGTTTTGAATTCCAGTTGATAGGAAATATTCCAAATTATCCAAAAACAATAAATATTTGGACTAAGTATCCAGAATTTATTGAATATGCAAAATTTATTGCAATATCTCCATCAAGCTTATTAAGTAAATTAGAATATTGTAAAGATGTGGCATATGGAATAAAAATTATAGATGCAAAAGTAGTAAACCCATTTAATGGAGAGGAACTGCCAATATTTGTAACAGATGAAATTACATTTGAAAATTCTAGAGATACTTATATTGGTATACCTTCTGCTTCAAAGGAAGATTACAAATTTTCAGAAATAGTTGGGATTGAATTCATACGTCATACAATAAGTAATTATGAAGAACAACAATGCAAAAGATTAGAAATATTATCAAAAGCAAGAAAATGGAAAATTGGTGGATATCCTGTTAGTTCAAGACTACAGGATTGGTTAATATCTAGACAAAGGTATTGGGGAACACCAATTCCAATTATTTATTGTTCAAACTGTGGTGTTCAACCAGTGCCACATGATCACCTACCTGTAGTTTTACCAGATATATCATCTTCAAGTGAAAAAAAATATAAATTAAGTGAAAATAAGAATTGGTTAAATACTTCTTGTCCAAAATGTGGTGCTTCAGCAGTTAGAGAATCAGATACAATGGACACATTTGTAGATAGTTCATGGTATTTTTTGAGATTTATTGATCCAAAAAATATGAAAGAAATGTTTGCTGTTGATAAAACAAAAGAGATATTTCCTGTTGATTTGTATATAGGTGGAAAAGAACATGGTAACATTTAATATTTAAATTCTTTATTGATATAAAATACCTGTATTTGTAAATTTCAAATTATAATTTCAGCTGTACTACATTTATATTATGCCAGACTTATAAGTCATTTTTTACATTCAGAAGGACTTTTATTTAGTAAAGAACCATTTAAACAATTACTTGTGCAAGGTATGGTCCTTGGAGAAACATATCGAACAAAAAATACAGATAAATATTTAAAAGTAAATCAAGTGGAAAAAGATATGGGGCAGTATATAGAAAAGAGTACTAAACAACCAGTTGTTGTTTCATGGGAAAAAATGTCTAAGTCAAAATATAATGGTATTGACCCTTATGAATTCATAGATAAATATGGAATTGATACAACTAGATTACTTATATTAGCTAATCAATCACCACAATCAGATAAACTCTGTAACCATGATAGTAAGTATTTTTATAATAAAAATTTTCATTAATATTTATATCTCAAGTAATGTGTATATCGATAAAATTTAGATATACCAGGAATACAAAATTGGGAAAATCGTATATGGAAAACGGTGAGAAGTTTTATAGAATATCGTAATAACGTAACTTCAGAAGAATTTCAAGCACAACCTAGTCATCCAGATTTTGCAAAACATGATGCATATTTGTTTGACAGTCGAAATTATTTTCTAAAAAGTGTAAATAATTATTTACTGGAAGATCAACAATTAAGTATGGCAATATCAAGATTGCAAGGACTTACAAACAGGTAGGTATTACACCTATGCGATATATTAATGATTATAATGATTTCATAAGTATTAATTTCCATTCATATTTAATATTAAGTCTACGTAAAGTATCTATCCAATGTATGAAAAAAAGTCGTGAATATGAACGTGCATTAGCAGTTCAAATTATAATGATTGCACCATTTGCACCGCATTTTGCTTCGGAATTATGGTCTGCATTTTCTGCAGCAAAATATCACCTTATAAGTGAAGATGAAGTAAAATTAGACAAAGATGTTATGGAGCAAAGATGGCCAGAAATAGATACAAATTATAAAATGTCATTAAAAGTCAAGGTAAGTTCAAAATATTTGAAGTATTTATTATTACATTATGATTATGTATAAGTTTACTTTATTTACTGCATAACTTCATAAATAACTTTAATTTTTTTAAATTAAAATATTATATTTAATACCATAAATAATTTTATGTAAATATATTATTAATTACACGATTTTGCATATTATTAGATAAATGGTACATCGTACGGAACTATTAAAATACCCAAGTGTGAATTAGATAAATTATCATATGAGGCAGCTTTTGATTTGATATACAATTTGCCATCTGTCCAGAAACATTTAGCAAATCACAAGGTTGTTAAATCTACACTTGTTTCAAGGGAAGGCTGTGATACAAAGATAATAATAAATTCAATAAAAGAAGATACAAAAGCTATAGTAACATAATAGATCATATAAGAAGAGCCAAATGTTAAAGACTAAAAATTGTGAATGGCATCTTTTACTTTTTATTCAATAAATATTTTTTTCTTATTAAAGTGAATATATTAAAATATAAACATACTGTATATAATGAAACTTTGACATATGAATAAAAATTTCTTTTATTACAAAAATAAACTAAATTAAGGTAGAAAGCAACTGTAAATAATTATTCTTACCCGATATCATATTCTCCTGTATATTCATTATGTGGTATTGTTTCTAAGAATTTAATATAATCATGTGGTAATTGACTTTCATATGCACCATTTAATATTGTTTC